CTTCCAGAACCACCATAAACAACCATGCATTCTTCATCTCTAGAATCAGAAACTAGATGCTTCATCTTTTCTTTTGAATACAAAGTATCATACACTTCCTCTATGGTGAGAGTATCACAACTATATAAGGCCATGTCTCTAAATGAAGAAAACAAAGCGGACAACGAACACAATAGGATTAAGGCTAAATCTTCTTTATCATGCTCTACTTCCAAAGTTTCCAAATCAGGGACGATCTCCTTAAATACAGTTAGACGATCTTCCAATGATCCTCCTTTTGCCATTCGATGAGAGTATAAATGCTGCTTGAGGTTTAACTTACTTGTCAGACTTTTAGTCATGCACAATTACTCCAACCTCAACCATAAAGCAGCTGCTGAATTCTCCTTCAAAACGTCTTGAAGAATAGTATTTGATGGATGAAGATGAATGTGAGAAACTGCCTTCTTATCCTTCCATAATTTCTCCTCCGCGGTCAAAGTTGCGGGCAACCTGTCAATTCTCAACAACGCATAATCGAAATCCAACTATTTGAGTACTACACGTATCTTAACCTACCATAGTGAAAATCTAGTGCTCCAACCCAAAAGCAGAATGTCATAATTCATGGAAGTCAACACGAATAAAAAATTTCGAACAAATCAAACATTGTTCTCTTGCGGAACTGCTGAACCTGGCGCTCTAATACCGATTGTTGTGAAACAAACCACCGGATTGAGATGTTGAAATTATATGAAAAATAATAATGAAGTATATGATCAAGTAAAAGAATAATAAAAACAAGAATATGACAGATGAATTAAGATATTTTATTAACTTAAAAATAATGGAGAAGATAGAAAAATTACAATAGATCCTATAATTCTAGTAATCTATTTTCTCACATCTTAAAGTTGTATAGAAGAGCCTATTATTTATAGGGAACATGTAGGGGATGTCCAAACCCTCATAGTAGAGTTGTTGATGAGGATACCAAAAAAATCGAATCCAAAGCAAATTTCAACTTACAATGGTTCCAAAATAAAACTTCAACTTGACATATGACTTCAATAGCATTCCAAACTGAATTCTTCTTGATGTACACTTCAATTAGAATTCTTCAATTACTTCAATAAGGAATTCGAGTCACACCTAAATTCTAACAGCTAGAGTATCAGTTTGATAATCACACTTAATTAAATGAATTATGTGATATTTTATTTAAATGAATGAATTAATTAATGTCATATACTTGTCAACTAGACCGATGCTTAGCACAAGCGAGATTGAATAGTATTACTCGCAAATCTTTCCATAACCGATGTGTGATATTTTCTTAATATGCCCCTATAAATAATGACTCATTATTTGGAATCGAAATACTTATTTTGAGCTTTAGACTGTCTAAATTGCTCGTGAGTTTAGTGGGATCTGACACTATCGAGGCATGGGGTTTCACTTTAAAATGTCAACATTGTTAATAGGAATATTCGTAACTCTTCCATGTTATATATCGGTTTCATCTTTAACCAATTCAACATTTGAGTTAAATCTCTTCTTGATTGAAGGAACTGTAAAGCTAAAAGACCCTCTTTGTGTCAAAGCATTGTGCTATCAAAGTTTGAGTTGTTCAGTACTAGACAAAATCCATTTTTTGTTTAAAATTTTTAAAATATTATTATGCTATCTTTCATTTCCTTTAATTTGAATGATTTTTGGCGATTCTGGAAAAAAAAAATGTTATAGTACTTCTAAAATTGAAGTCTTTCCATAATGGTCAGCTTGGCAGAATAATTAGTTTTGTTGCTTAATTAATTGACTTTATTGAATCTTTTGAAGTGTTCGGTAGAGATTAAAATTGGATTAAAATTGAAAAACTAGTCGTTATTATTAATTTTTATTAGATGAGTGAGACCCAATAACGGTTATATTTTCAATTTTAATTGGATTTTAATCACTCCCAAACATAGAAGTATATAATTCATTTTCTCTCCATTTTTTATTTAAAGAATCTTTCATTGTCTTAGCAAGATTAAAATCGTAAATTTAAACTTCATAATTGTAATAATCTGCACTTGTGATTAAAAGAATCTTGTTTGTTGTGAGGTTTCGATCTTTGATCTATTTTATAACGTTTTGGTTAAGTGGATGACCATTTCAATAAAGAAGATAAATTTCACATGTATAGACTCCAAAGATTGGTTGGACAAGTCATTAATTTTAAGAAAGTAGAATTTTAACGTTTCTGGTTTCGAAAGTTTTCTTACCAGCCTGTTATTCAATTAAAGAAATCGCAAGTTGCTCTTAATTTGGAGGTAAAAAAGTTTATATATTTTGCTGAACACATCTCAGCTCTCTCATTGATTACATTTTCTGTCTTTCGGCACTGTGAGAAGATACAGAAATGGCTTTTGCTGCCCTTATTTCTCTAACCAACACTGTTGAGCAGAACCTACACCACCATCTGATTCCTAATAAGCAGAAAATTGATATTCTTCTCCAAGAAGCTACTTTTTTTACAGAATTTTCTTGAAAATTCTGTACAAAAAGATAATGAAGAAGTAGAACGTTTGGGTAGTCAAATCAGAGATGCAGCATACAGGGCTGCGGATATCGTTGAATCGCACCTGGTGGATGGACTTCTTTCAAAATCAGCAAGTTATGCTGTTGAGAGCTTCACGACGTTCAATCAGGCCGTAGAGGAAGTAATAGAAGAAATCCATTCCATTAAGCAAGAGGTGATGAAGATTGAGGACGAGAATGACGTACTCGATCTGCAGCCAAGAACTTCGTTGGGTGCTGCCTCATCAAAACCTACTCTCAGTGGCGAGGAGATCATCAAGATGGTGGGTCTTGATAATGAACTCGAGGAGATCAGGACTCGTCTGATTAAGGGATCATCACAACTTCAAATTCTCTCCATTCTCGGGATGGGTGGAATCGGTAAGACAATGATGGCGAGAAACATTTATGATGATTTATCAATTAAAGATCATTTTTATATTCGTGGTTGGGTAACTGTATCTCAAGAATATAATGAGCGGAAACTTATATCAGATATTTTAGATTCGATGAAAATGCTCCCTGACAACATGTGTAATGAAGAGAAGAGTGACAAATTATAAGGGCTTCTACACAAGACTCTAAGCCGTACAAGATACC